ACCATCGACCCTGCCTTGAGTGTGACAGGGGGCGGTGCCCCAACCCCCCAATCGGCCCTACCCTGAGCGTGACTGAGGGTGGCATCTCAACCTCCCGATCCGCCCTGCTTTGTGCATGACAGGGGGTGGCACCCCAACTCCCCAATCGGCCCTGCTCTAAGCCCGACCGGGTGCTGGACCTAGGGATTGGGCCTGCCCTCTGCCACCCAGGAGCAGGCCTGAGCCAGCAGGTCGTTATCTCCCGAGGGGTCCCAGACTGCGAGAGGGCACAGGCCAGGCCGAGGGACCCCCCTGCCCCCCAAGTGCACAAATTTTTGTGCACCGGGCCTCTAGTCCTATATAATAAAAGGGTAACATGCTAAGTGTCCAGTCAACTGATCAGCCGTTCAATCAATCAAAGCATAATATGCTGATGATTTTCTAAGGCCACTCAACCACTCACTATGATGTGCACTGACCACCAGGGGGCAGATACTCTGACCAGTAGGTTAGCTTGCTGCTGGGGTCTGGCCCATCAGGACTGAGAGAGATAGGCTGGACATGCCTTGGAGCCTCCAACAGTCCTCCCGCTGCTGGCCACCCAGAAAACGGCCCAATCCCACAGGCCAGGCCAAGGGACCCCACTGGTGCATGAATTCATGCACTGGGCCTCTAGTTATTCTTAATATATGATGTTTTGTCTGTAAAATTGGGAGGAGTGCTTCCATTTCTACTCTTGGAAGTTTTTTGACAGTGACATTATTTGAAAATTTTCCTGGGTATGGGGGAGATGAGAAAGGAGGTGATCCATAGTGCCTGCTCTAGTCTGAGAGGTTCTATGGAACTTGATGCCCAGAAAAGATACCTCAAAATTGCTTAGCACTTTATGATTTACAACCCTGTCACATAATCTCTATGGATTTCTACAGAAGAGGAAAGGAGGCCCAGAGAGATAACATGACGTGGCACTCAGTGAGTGGTATGTATGATCAAGATTCAAATCCAGATCTCTCGATCTAAAATCCAGTGCTCTTAACACATCAGCACAAGTGGTACAAATACAGACCTTGATACCTGCTTCCCAAGGCTACTGCATGGACTGTGGATAATGTGGCCCAGAGTGCTCTCTAGAATTCTACCCCTTCCTTCCAATTGCTTACTTCTGGCATTTCTAAGGTGTGGTGAAACCCAACAAAGAACCACGGCAGTGATCTAAGTGAAAATTAACTGTAAACTTGTATATGCTATCTTAGAGAGTTTATTAGACTGCGATTGGAAACTTTTAAAGCACTGTGATAATTTAACATATTCTGACAGTAGTTATAGCAGCACCTAACTTAGGATGTATGGGGATTGCCAAATTCTTGCCCCTCCAAGTTTTATTGAGATATAATTGACAATAACATTATATAAGCTTAAGGTATACAATACAATAATTTTGACTTATGTATATGTTTTGAAATGATAATCATAATAAGTTTAGTTAACATCTATCACCATCACCTCACAGTTAGAAAATGATTTTTCCTTGTGGTGAGAACTTTTAAGATCTACTCTCTTAGCAACTTTCAAATATACAAAAGAGTATTGTTAGCTATAGTCATCATATTGTACATTACATCCCCAGAAATTATTTGTTATAACTGGAAGTTTGTACCTTTTTACCACCTTCACCCCATTCCTTCACCCTCACCCCCACTTCTGGCAACCATAAATCTGATCTCTGTTTTTATGAGTTTGGTTTTTTTGTTAGATTCCACATATAAGCAAGTTTATACAGTATTTGTCTCTCTGTGTAACTTATTTCACTCAGCACAATGTCCTCAAGGTTATTTCAAATGGCAGAATTTCCTTATTTTTTATGGCTGAATAATATTCCATTATACATATACACCATATTTTCTTTACCCATTCACCCATTGCTGGACACTTAGAATGTTTCTATATCCTGGCTACTGTGAATAATGCTGCAATGAACACGGGGGCTCAGATATTTCTTCAGATCCCAAATTGTTAAGAGCTGCTTAAGTTATTGGGTATAGCTAGAAAGATATAACCAGTAAAGAACAAGGTTTGTTGGCTGATATGAAAATAAATGCTATGCCACCTCTGTGTAATACCACTGTCTATGGTGAAATTTCTGAATTAGTTACTTTAAAGGAAAAATTTTATTTTCTTGATCCCCCCCCCCAAACTCTAGTAATGCCATCTATCTCTTGGTACAATTCTGGGGAAAGATTTTTCCTCATAATTCCCTCTATATTGCTTGGATGCTAATCAAATGTCAAGGAAAGCAACATACCTGTGAGAAGCTCTTAGTACTCATTCCTGTTGCCCATCTTTCAGTAGTCAGATTTTCTCTAAACTAAGAAACTTCTTTCTTGGGAAGCTTCAAAACCTCAAGATGATTGCAATGAGCTCTTAAGACATGTGACCAAAAGTAAGAAGCATTTTCTTCCTCTTCAGACCTCGTGCTTCTTCCTTTTTTCCCCCTGTGTTTTTTAGTTTTATTTTGGTTTCTAACTAGTTCATTTTGGGGAAGCTAAGGGAGTGTTCCCAGAAGTGCCAAACTCCTGCTTGGTGTTTATTGCAAAACAGATATTTAGTGAGAAGGTTTTATCTTGTGCCCATCACAAGTTCCTCCAGATTTCTTGCTCCCTGGGAGCTCTTGTGGTCGCTCAGTTGGTTCAAGCCCTGTGTTGGAAGCAGTTCTAGCCAACATACCTGGAATTGAACATGTGAATTGGTAGAGAGAGGCCTTTCTTCCCTTGTTTGTTTCCTGAAACTGCTGTGCTTCTTCAACTAGGTCTCAGGTATGTTTGAGCCTTGAAATCAGGCTGTGTAATTCTGCTTCTTTCCCCTCTGACACCTCCTTTGTTTGCCACAAACTTGACTGCCTATTGAAGAGATTACCCATGTTGTTCTTTGGCTTGGGGTGTACAACAACCCATTTACAGGGCCAGCCCTTGGCAGAACTAGGAGTTTCGAGCCAGGTCTGGATAGTTTAACTTTAGTACTCCCTCCTTCACATATCTCTATAGTATCAAGGGCAAGATCGCCTTCTCCTATGTGTGTTACAGTCCAGAAACTTGGGGATCCACCCTCTTTTGACAGCCCAGTGCTTCTTACCTTTAATGCTGGGGTCTAACCCCAGCAGGTCCAGGGGTTCCCCATAGGTGTGGGTGGAGTCAGCGAAGAAGGAATTACACAGAGACAGCGTTCAGTTGATCAGCAGCCTAGCCAGGATCTCTAGCCAAGTTCTGGTCAGGATCTCCAGCGAAGTTCTGGTTTGGAACTCCAGCCAGGTTCTGTGTCCATGTTCTCTTGCTAGGTTCTCCAGCCAGGTTCTCCAGGTTATCCAGCCAGGTTCTGTAGCCATGTTCCCTTGCTAGGTTCTCCAGCCAGGTTCAGTCACCAGGTTCTAGTCAGGTTCTCTTGCCATGTCCTATCCAGGTTCTGTAGCCAGGTTCTGTCTCTAGGATCTTCAGCCAGGTTCTCTTGCTAGGTTCTGTCTCTAGGTTCTGTTGCCAGTTTCTGTCCAGGATCTTTTGCCATGTTCTCTCCAGCAAAGTTCTTCTGTCTCTAGGTTCTGTGTAGCTTCTGTCTTCTAAGTTCTGTCTTCTAAGATCTGTGTCAAGAAGGCCTACTCCTGCATGAATTTTCATTCATCGGGCCTCTAGTTAAGAAATAAAGCTTATTTCTTTTCTGGGCTGGACTGTGACAATGTAGTCAATAGAAGACTATGAATTGATACTCATCCATGTTTCTAACTCTATCTCTCTCCCTTCCTCTCTGTAAAAACTCAATAAAATATATTTAAAAAAAAAAGAACAGTATGCCATATACGCCAGGTCCCTTGAAACATATGCTGTGCAGATGTTTCTTCCCTGCAGCAACTGTGTCAAGCAGCAAGGATGGACTGGCTCCTGGCACTTTAAGTACTGAAACCACAACATTTCAATAGAAGTGAAGCTCAGAAAAAGAGACGACAGCAGAATAATATATTTTGCAATAACATCATAATGGGTAGAGTGTGGGATATACCTGGACAAAAGGTTGTGTTTTCTGGATGAGGAGAAGCACCCCTGAGACTCATGGCAATGCCTTCTTTGGTGGGGGAGAGTCTCTCCTTGGGCTTTTTCAATACTCTCATTCATACTAGGTACCATCTCTTGAATAATAATAATAGTTACTGGCAAAAATTAGGGAGCACTTATCATATTCCAGGCACATGTAAGTGCTTTATATGTGTTTACACAGTTAACAAACTCTATGAGGTACATATTACTTTTCCAGTTTTTAAATGAGGAAACTGAGGCACAGAATACGAAGTAGCCCTAGATCACCCAGCCAGTAAGAAACAAAGCTGTGATGGTATCTCCGTTCACCAGTCACCCATGTGGCTTCTATTGATCCTATGTACTTTGTGCTGGTGGGCTGAGCTAGTGTCTCCTCCTCCTTGGGACTCTGGCACTATCTTGCTCAATGCACTGACAGCTCTTCTGAACTTTCTGGATGTTCCCTGAGGCCTACACCTTTTAAAAATTATTTATTTTAGCTGAGACAATTTTAAAAACCACAAAAAAATTAAAAGTATAAAGTCACAGTAAGTAACACCACTCCTAAAACAGTCTTTTCATTCATCTTTCTGGGAGTACTATTCCTGGGGATTTTTCTTTTATTTGTCTACCTATTTATTCATTTATTTATTTTAAAAATATGTTTTTATTGATTTTTTTAAGAGAGAGAGAGAAACATTGATGTGAGAGAGAAACATCAATTGGCTGTCTCCTGCATTCCCCCCACTGGGAATCAAGTCTGAAACCTGGGCATGTGCCCTGACCGGGAATCAAACCGTGACCTCCTGGTTCCTAGGTTGATGCTCAACCACTGAGCCATGCTGGCCGGGCCTGAGTCAGTTCTTGATAGTGTAGATTCAATCTCTTCAGAATTCAATAGTTTCCCAAGGTTCTCTTGGCTATCATTAGGGGAAAGAAACAAATTCTGCACCCCTGACCTGGAATCAAACAGGTGACCTTTTGGTGCATGGGATGACCAAATTGAGCAATACCAGCCAGAGCCTGGGAGATTTTTCTTAGTAAAACGGTCTTCATTTGCCTACCAGCAAGACATCTTCCTCTTCCTTGCCACTCAGAGATTGCTTCTTTACATATTTCTTTCCAGAAACCATTTATGATCAGTTCTCTCAGCTAAACTGCAAGAAAGGCAAGATTAAAGCCACACTCTGGCTCATCATGTAAGTAATTTATAGAAAAAATTCATGGTGCTGGTAAGTGCTGTTTTTGTGGACAAATATACCAGAATGCTGATCTGGATGCTGTCTGAATTAAAAGCTCTTTCAACTAAACAGCCTATAAACCAATGAAGTGTGATGCTACAAACAAAAAACATCTATTTTTATGCATTTTATTATGTACCTAAAATAATAAAGAATTTATCTTTGTCAGATGCTTTTCTTAAATCAGTGCACAACTCCATCCTACATCTCCTGGGTCTGACTGGAGCCATCCAATTTCCAAGTCTGCACTACTGGAGAAATACCTGGAAGAGGAAAGGAGAAGGGAAAATGGTATATCAATTTATTTTTGCAAATATATTTTTATTGATTTCAGAGAAGAAGGGAGAGGGAGAGATTGATAGAAACATCAGAAATGAAAGAGAGCCCTAACTGGTTTGGCTCAGTGGATAGAGTGTCGGCCTGCGGACTGAATGGTCCCAAGTTCGATTCCGGCCAAGGGCATGTACCTTGGTTGCGGGCACATCCCTGGTAGAGGGTGTGCAGGAGGCAGCTGATCGATGTTTCTCTCTCATCAATGTTTCTGGCTCTCTATCCCTCTCCTTTCCTCTCTGTAAAAAATCAATAAAATATATTTTAAAAAAAGATGAGAGAGAATCATTGATCAACTGCCTCCTGCATGCCCCCTACTGGTGATACAGCCTGCAACCTAGACATGTGCCCTGACTGGAAATCAAACCATGACCTCCTAGTTTATAGGTCGATGCTCAATTAGTGAGCCATGCTGGTTAGGCGAAAATGGTATATTTAGAATTGATTTATATATCATTAGAGGGCCGGCACACGAAATTAGTGCATGGGTACAGTCCCTAGGCCTGGCCTGCAATCAGGGCCATCTTTCCCAGCTGCCCACAGCTGGCCCACCCCCTGCTGCCACCCACCCCCAGTTCCCAGTTCGCCATTGGGTAATAGGTGCCTGATGGCTGGGGGAAGGGACTGAGGGGCCGCGGGTGGTTTGCAGGCTGGTCACACCCCTAATCGGGGTGAGGGTCCCCACAGGAGACAGGGAAAGCCTGGGCGAGGGGCCATGGGTGGTTTGCAGGCCAGCCACACCCCTGATCGGGATGGGAGTCCTCGCTGGGGGGCAGGACCAGCCTGGGCGAGGGGCCACCAGCAGTTTGCAGGCCAGTCATGCCCTCGATCAGGGTGTGGGTCCCACCTGGGCGAGGGGTTGTGGGCGGTTTGCAGGCCAGCCAAACCCCCAATTGGGGTTGGGGTCCCTGCTGGGGGGCGGGGTCAGCCTGGGCAAGGGGCCACAGGCAGTTTACAGGCCAGTCATGCCCTCAATTGGGGTGGGGGTCCCCTCTGGGGGGGTGGGGATGGCCTGGGCTTGGGGCTACTGAGGGTTTGCAGGTCGGCCACATCCCCAGCTTTGTCAGGAAGGACACCCGGAATGACATCTGGAAGACTTCCTGTCTATCCAATCTAATTAGCATATTACCCTTTTATTAGTATAGATACTGTGATAACTCCTCTCAGGAACAGGAGCATGGGAGGTGGTCAATTCTTGACTTCTCTCCTACAAAATTCACAGTGAAGATGTCACTACATGGTCTTTCAAAAACACTGTCAAAGTATGGAGCTTCTTTTTTTTAAATATGTGTTTTATTTATTTTAGAGAGGCGGGGGGAGGGAGAGAGAGAGAGAAACATTGATGTGAGACACTTCAATTGTTTGCCTCCCACACACACTCCGACTGCAGCTAGAGATCAGGGCCAGGGATCAAACCTGCAACGCAAGTACATGCCCTTTACTGGGAATTGATGTGTGAGGACCAGAACTCTAACCACTTAGCAACACTGGCCAGGGCCATTTCATTCTTTATTTTATGGCCAAGTAACATTCCATTGTACATATATACAACTTTTTTATCTAGTCATTAGATAGCATTTTTTTCCTTTTTATTGATTTTATTGTAGGTTAACAAAGTTATGTAGGTTAGACAGCATTCTTAAAAAGACAAAATTATAAAGACAGAAAGCAGATCAGTATTTTCCAAAAGTTAGGAATGAAGGGAAGGTGTGGTAAAAGAATAAAATGAGGGAGTTT